CACCTTGATGGGCACCAGGTGGTTACCAGTCTCCACTGCGTCAGGTGCTGGAGTCCCATCGTCAGTGGTACTGACGGGAGGTGCGGCAGGTTTTGACTGCGGAGGTACGCAGCTGCTGTAGGTGTGCTGCTCCGTGATTTCGGGCAGTTGCATCGACGAAGATTTTTTTCCATTGCAAAGGGCGTACTTGGCCCTCAGCGCCTTGCGTTTTTTTGCTACCTGGTTCTTCTCCCACCCGGCCACGAAGGATCGCCACGCCCTACGGCAAAGCCTGCAATGATTACAATTAAATGTGAATGCACATGCCCTACGGCAAAGCCTGCAATGATTACAATTAAATATGAATGCACATATCATATTAAAAAGCATTAAATCCACAGCTTCATGATCTTACACGCAAAGCCATAAAATACAATAATGTATACATGCATCTATCATACATACGTATAAATCCTATCACATGGATAAATATTACTAACCTATAAACGAAGCTATGAAGAAAAGATTTGCTTTAATCTACCAAATTCAATACAGACATAACTGTAACGACTGTGAAACCGCTCCGGTGCAGTATCATAATGAACTCTAAAGTAGTGAATTACACAACGAAATAACCACAACATGTACGGCAGCTGAGAAGACTTACAAGAAGAGCGGCGTCGTCTGTGTGAGGGCCAGGAATGCGAGGAGGCGGCGGTTCACACTCCCGCGCAATCTGGAACAAGAAAGGCGTTCTCAGTAAGGTAGAAAACACATACACACACGCGCGCGCGCACACACACACACACACACACACACATACACACACACACACACACACACACACACACACACACACACATACACGTACACACACACACATATGTATATATACAGATCAATAAATGTCTTAATTATTACGACATGATGACACAATTAACCAATACTGTCTTCTACACTGATGTATTTGTCTTCGATTACATCCTCCTTATTGGTACACCCTGCCTTCGTCAATGAAGAGATCCTGAACAATCCAGTTAACGGGAGAGAGAAAATTCAAGATAAGTAAATGCTTTCCACACACAATCACTTCCACTCACACTGATAGATAGATTGGTAGATAAATCCAACCATAGTTATCGTGCGAGGATATATGTCTATTCGGCGAATTTCTCTGCAACGCATTTTTTACCCTATATTCCTTTAGATATGCACGTAAGTTTCTATTTTGTGCGACTACTGTTGCAAACCCCTTTACACTGCGAGTTGATTCTTTATAAGACTTTTAGTCTACCTGGGCTGAAGAGCCAAAACGATCCATGATAATGCTTTGCTTCCAAGACCATGCTGTCAGGCCGAAAGTGTAGGTTTTGGAAACCCCAGTTTTTTCCCTAAGACATTCCGAAGGACCGAAATAGGGGGTAAACATTATCTTGACTACGTTTCTTTAGTCGGATTTAGTTTTCGGATGATTCCAATTTCAAATAATATAATTTTAAACTTGGATATTGGATTTTTAAAATGAAGGAGCACAAGAAAGACCAGGATGTTAACGTGTCAAATTTCCTGCTCTTTAATCAACAGGAAATGGAAACTCGGTTAAATCATGACTGTGCCTGATTCTGTTTTATAACATATGTTCCCTAATTTCGGTTAATGCTTTAACTAAATATAGATGTTAATAATTTATAATAATGTTTTAACATCAAATGTGAAACTAAAATATGGACTGTTAAAAATGAGCAAATAATTTCGTTTAAAGTCTATAACACTGAATATATTTAATATTAAACCTATTTACAGTTACAATAATTTATTTCCCATTAAGATCTTCTTCATACCTCTAATAACTCATTTACAGATCTGTACAACCGTATCAATACATGTGTTTGTATGTGCAGTTAAAGTTTATATATATTTTTTTTATCATGTCCCAAGAATGACTTAAATTTCGAACTTGGTGGTAACAAAGCAACCAAAACTACTTCCATAATGAACAACTGCTTCACCTGTAGAACGGGAACAGCGTTAGTGCATATGTAATATTTATAAAGTACATTGGCATGTTCACCGATCATTATTCCTAGTGAACGCCTGCTAATGATGATTTTTTAAAACTATTTCTTTTATTCATTCGAGGCTTCTCTAAACTAAAAGCAGGTTGTTTGTTATCATGCAACAAAACTTGTTTGGCGTACGAGTTGTTTATATTCCTTGGATTCTCATTTTACCCTTGTGCATTGTTCGTATTAGGTTTCGGGAAGCCGCTTGGGAGCCACGAAAATAACACATTATCTCATTTCTCTACGTAGGTCTTGCTTTAGTCTGTTTTACTTTTTTGCGTGTTCTTTTTTCACTGGTCGCCAAAGATGTCCCGTGATTTCCCTCTTCATTTGAGCCAACATCATATGATATACATTTTTTTGTTCTTATGCATGGGTATAATATGCTATGTAACTTATTTTTATAAAGCCACACTGGTGTTACCGTTAACTATCAGCATTTATCAATTTACGCAATT